TTAAAAAGAATCTTCCTGAAATTTGAGGGCAGATCTGCCATTATTCCTTTTTTTTTCAATTTTTTTTTTTGGAGACAGAGTCTGTCTCACTTTGTTGCCCGTAGTAGAGCACCATGGCCCATGGCATCACTGCTCACAGCAACCTCTAACTGTTGGCTTCCAGTGATCTTCTTGCCTCAGCCTCCCAAGTAGCTAGGACTACAGGTGCCCTCCACAACGCCCAGCTAATTTTTCTATATTTAGTAGAGACAGGGTCTTACTGTTGCTCAGGCTGGTCTCAAACTCCAGAGCTCAGGTGACCCACCCTCCTCAGCCTCCCAGAGTGCTAGGATCACAGGCATTGAGCAACCACACTCAGCCTTCCTTCTACCTTCTAATGTTAGAAACTCCACCAAATTACTAATGGCTGCCCAGCAAATGACATTTCCTAGTCTCTGCTTATGTTAGCTGTGACCCTGTGACCCAGATCTAGCCAAGGAGGCAAGAGGGGGTATGATGTATGTGTGCTGTCCACTCCCTCCACTCTATGGGCAGAGCAGTCAGAGTCCTGCAGGGCCACCTCCCTGCCTGAAGCCACCACCTACTTGTGAGAGGGAGTGAGAAAAATCAAGTTTCTTGTTTGAAACACTGTATTTGAATGTTACAGCAACTTTAACCTATGTCTTAAATAACACACATGTACAACCTGAATATTCAGATGCAAGACTCCCAGTGATGATAAAGAAATTCACACACATACCAGTAACTGACAAGAATGAGAAGCAGAGTGTCAGCCCAAGGAGGCATTTCTATCCCTAGGAGATTTTCTTGCAAAATTAGCGTGTCAGTCCTTCTCCCTCCAGTGGTTCACTGCATGCTACCCCGCTGGCCCATAAGTGACACTTCCAATCACTTACTGACGGTGTTCACTGAAAATGTTTCAGTTAAATGTCCATGACCAAGTTTTTATATTTTTTTCCTGCTGAAAAATTACTATTAGTTTTTCATTTTTTTTAAATAAAAATACATGAGCCCACCAAATTTTCAGTTAACCTTTTTTTTTTTTTCTGGTCTGTTTTTGCTCAATAGTTTATGAAATCAGAACCATACTATTCAGTTTTAATATCCTGCTTTACTTTAATAAATTCTTCTTAATTCTTAGTGATTAAAAACGTAAGTTACATATTATAAAAATATTTCAAATAATTAAGAAATACAAACATATAGACAACGAAAAATCTCTGGTAATTCAACAGAAAACCACTATTAGCTGTTTATACATATACTCATCCATCTGGACCAGGGGTCCTCAAACTTTTTAAATAGGGGGCCAGTTCACTGTCCCTCAGACCATTGGAGGACCGGACTGCGGGCCCAGGACAAGTCGGCTGCTAAGCAGGACAGACAGCGGCGGCAAAAACACCCGGAGGGCCGGATAAATGTCCTAGGCAGGCCGCATGTGGCCCATTGGCGGTAGTTTGAGGACGCCTGATCTGGACTTTTGCTTCAACAAAATACAATTATCTGTGCAGTTATGTGCACACACATACACGGTTATCCACGTATATGCACACAGGCTTTTCAAATGGGATCACACTGGACCTATGCAGCCGCCACTCCCCCATCTCCTGACATTCTTCAAGCTCACACATACACATGTGCCTGGCTCCCCAGGTGGCATCCCTGTCATAGCCAATGACACACTCCCAGGGATGTACCAAGTCCCTCCTCTGAACCCCAGCTAGGAGGGAGGGAATGTTCATCCCTAGGCCTCTGGTTTCCTAGGGGAGAATTTTCCCTCAAGTGTTCTGGCTTCTTGCTCAACCTTTTCTCCTGCCCCAAAAGGTGGTGTGTGTGAATAGAATGAAATGCTTGGGAAAAGGAGGCATCTGAGCCTGCTCTCCCCTACCCTCTCCAGAACCTGCTAATTCCAGGGGCTCCCATTCCACTTTGCTCCCCCAGCCAGAGCTTTTAAGCAGGGCAGCCTCTGAGGAGAGGCTGTACCATCAGGGCTGCCTGTGAGTAGGCAGCAACATCTCAATGGCATTCAGTCTGCGAAGTCCGACGTTGCGCCAATCTAGCCTTTGGCCAGTGGGAAGGTGACCATTTGCTCTTCCCAAACCTTGCTCCTCTGCCTTGACTGGCTCAGAACTCAAGCGAGGAGGAGTCACTGCTGATCAGGCCCCCTGACGGACTCTCCAAACCTCAGGAGGTAGGCGTTATCCTACCATTTACTCCGTTCTACAGAAGGAACAGGGACAAAAGTGACAGCAAATTACCCAAGGTCACTACTCCTGTGAGGGGCGGAGCTGAGATTCAACTCTGGGTTTGTCTGCCTCAGAGCCCATTTACCCACCATGGAAGACTGTTCCCTTTGTAAAAGTGACGTCACTTTGAGTGACGTCACTTTTACAGAACATTTTGCTTAGAGATCATCTGCGATTAGCATTAAGAAAGTAAGCTTATATTCTAAGCCTTGCCATTTTTCTTAACTAAAAATAATGGGGATGGAAATTTTGGTTTCTTTGTTTTGGAAGTCAGTGACACATTCTAGTTTTCCGGTCCTAGAACTCTTGGCCTTAAGGGTTACTCCCACCTCAGCCTCCCAAAGTGCTGGGATTACGCGTGTGAGCCACCACACTTGGCCTGATTTTAACTTTTAAAATGACTGTTACACTACCTAGAAACAAGCCTGTATTTGTTTATGAGACCATATTATATGGTGGTGGAAAAGAAAAGCTCTGTTTTTTAGAGGGAACAACTTTAAAAATATTTAAATGGCTGAGTTTAGTTGGTGAAGTTAAAAATTAAACTTATCAATTTTAACAGTGCTGTTACATTTGAAATAAACGTATGTGATGTTTTGGTAAAAAACAAATTTAAAAAATAAAAATAAATGTATCTTGCTTTGAAGAAGCATGTATCTTCTTTTTTTTTTTGAGACAGAGCCCCAAGCCTTCCTTCTGGGTAGAGTGCCATGACATCACAGCTCACAGCAACCTCCAACTCCTGGGCTCAAGAGAGTCTCCTGCCTCCGCCTCCCAAGTAGCTGGGACCACAGGCGCCCGCCACAACGCCCAGCTATTTTTTTTTTTTGGTTGCAGCCATCATTGTTTTTTTTAGTGTGCCCAGGCTGGATTCAAACCCGCCACCTTAGGTGTATGTGCCTGGCGCCTTAGCCACTTGAGCCACAGGCACTGAGCCAAGAAGCATGTGTCTTAAAACAGCAAACTTCAGTTTCTGCTTGGCTCCTTTTTCTTCTATGAATTTAAGTAAAAATAAACTGATACCCTTTCATTTAAGGAACTGAAATGAAATGAACCGAAGTAAATACAGGCCAGACTGTGACTCTATAATATACTGTGATAACATGGACCCCTCCCTTGTTATGACATGCAGAATTTGCTGGATAAAACATTGCCTGAAATTATCTAAAAACACAGCTAAAGCTGTGTGTCAGCAGCAGTGACACTGGCTAGTGCACAGGGGTGTCTGATGCACCACGAGAAACTCAGCTTCCCCAACGGCACTGGTCAAGGGACATTCCTGCCTTGTGCTCTCACTGTTTGTCATTTATGGCCTAAACAAAGGAATAGGAAAGTCTGCTGAGCTTTACAAGATTAAGAAGCAGAGCAAGAGGGCACCTGAATGTGAGACACGGACTAGAGTACCACAAGCTCACTGCAGTCATCTACCATGTTTCCCCGAAAATAAGACCTACCCAAAAGATAAGCCCTAGTAGGATTTCTACACATTTGTTAAATATAAGCCCTACCCCGATAATAAGACCTAGTGATGGGGATGGCTATGCAGTGTATCTGCATTTTGGCCCAGAGACATCCCCTGAAAATAAGCCCTAGTGTGTCTTCTTGAGAAAAAATAAATATAAGACAGTGTCTTGTTTTGGGGGAAACACAGTAGTGGGTGCCTGCTGTGTGCCACACACTAGGCAAGGCATGACTCCGGTCTTCTTAATGCTCCTCATGATCACCTGTGAGGTTCAGGGAGGTGACAAGCTTAAGGTCAAACAGAGAAGGGTAGCCTGTGGCTAAATGCCCTCCCAGGCCATTAGCTTCTGCTTACAGCATGCTGCTCTCAGGGCTCTGCCCAAGGACACCAACAAGCCCAGTGTCCTCTCACTTGTCATTTTCCCTGACCCTGAGGCAGTACTGACAAGCTTCACAGCTCCTTGAGCTGCTTCATACCAACTGCTTGAGTTTATAACCTGCATTCTGTTAAAGACTCCCGGGAAACCTCTGGCATGCTACTCGGGCCCTGGGGATCCCTTCACCATGAGGTAGCTGGTGTACAAGGGTTAGACCAGCCTGACATCAGCACAGAGCCCGCCACTGGGATTAACAAAGACTTGTAGGGCAAAGAGAACTTTCAGAAGAAAGCCAGAAAGATGTAGCCAAAACACCTCTCTCTATCTGGTATTTCTCTTTCAGGTCCAAGTCTTGCAGTTAATTCTGTTTATCACATTTCCCCCTTCACCTCTAACCCCAAAAAGCACGTAAGATGCCAGCGCTGCACAGCCTCCAGCGCAAAGACACCCTTCAGTAAAAGCAAGTACGGTTAAAGCAAAACAGTAGTAAAGCCTCCACCTGTACCTATCACCCCCTAAAAATACCTGGGGAAGCCCATCTAAGTGGCTTAGGAGGCTTAAAAATTGTGACGTAGCAATTTAAACTAGAGGCTCTGAGGCTTGGATGTGTAATCCCTGGGAAAAAGGGCTGGAGGCAATGGGAAAAGGAAAACGAGGGAACGGGAAGACGCCGGGCTCGGGCACTAGATGAGCTCCCTGGAGGGAGCCGCCGCGGGCCACAGGCCGCGGGCCACGGGCCGGAGATGCTGCCTCACGGGGGCGGCCGGGGCTGCTGCAAGGAGACCAGCTCACCGAGGCCCATCAGAGCCCGGCCGCTGTCCGCCGACACCCGCCCGGCCCTCTCGGCAGACTCTGCCCCAGCTGAGGCCAGGTCGCTGAGCCCGCCCCCGCCCGCGGCCCTAAACGCGCCACTCACCCGGCGCCCCGCAGCGAGAAGACCGCGCGGGCCCGACGCCGGAGGGGACAGCTGGACCGCAGCCCCGGGCCCGCAGGCCGGCCGACAAAGCCCGCACGGCTGCCCGCACGCCGCGGCCGGAAGTCGCCCGAGGCTCCGCCCGAGGAACTTCCGGTGGCGCTCTAGCAGCGCCGGGGGGGCAGCTCCCTTCTCGGTGGTGCGGGGTTCCGGCCGAGCCCGGCGCTGGGTGCGGGAGAAACTCGGGCTTTCGGCTGCCGGGGCCCGGCTCTGCAGACTAGGGGTACGCGACCGGGCAAGCGGGGCTCGGCCGCTCTGGGCTGGTTGTCAGCGGTCTGGCCCGACCGAAGCCCGAGACTGGCCTCCCCGATACTAGATGGGTCTTTAAACTTCTCTGCAGCTCTGAAAGCGCGGGAGAACCGCACGCCTTTTTGCGTGCTTTTCACCTAACGTGTAAACAGATGCAAAATTTTTCGTTGCCAGTGAACTGTAAATCCAGATACTCGAGAACAAAAGCATGTCATTACTCCTGAGAAATGCAGACGTCTCCGCGCTGCGCTGATCGGGCTCAGATGCGGGCGCTTAAAGCGGCTACGGGATGACCACGGCCGGGCGCCGGACCATTTACAAGAAAGCGCCGCGGTAGTGAATTGTAGGTGTTGTTTACACCTCTGGAGTGGCGCTCTGGGCGTTTGGGGATGTCGGCAGAAAGCTGGGCGTCTGTCTCCCAGTACCTGTGGGAGGATGGAGTCTAACTTGGTCATTGGCCTAGCACAGCCTGCCCCGCGTCAAGCTGACCAAGTCTTAGTAATTTTCCCCCAGAGCCGCCTGCCTCTTCTCTCCCCTCCGACTGCCTCATTCTCCCTGTAAACTGAAACTGCCTCCTCTGCACAAATCGGAATGAACCTCAGCCCTTTCCCTACTGTCAGAAGTTACTGAATAAAACCTGGTTTCACTTTTTTTTTTTTTTTGGAGACAGAGTCTCAAGCTGTCACCCTGGGTAGAGTACTGTGGCATCATAGCTCACAGCAACCTCCAACTCCTGGGCT